CAATGAAAAAACGATGTACAATTATTGAAAGTTGACTTGCGGAACACACATTTATTAAACTATAACAAAATCAAGCGAATATTTCGATAGCTCCTGCAATCTTTATCAACGTTAATGTGAGAAAACTTTGGAGATCTTACACATACGTAAAGAATTCTTTTGAACTTTACTGTCCCTAATGTCTGTACAATCACGTAAAGGTATATTTTATATCATTCTATTTAAAAACTATTTCAGTTGTCAAGTATTCAGTTGCCATATATATCCAAAGTCGGAAAGTAACAACGTGATGTTGATTGCACTTGTCAACGGTATTACAATCATTAACACGACTATCGATTTTAAGTCTATATCAATCCACGGTAAGAAGGACGAAAACAGTTATCGTTTTACAACTTATTATGTATAGGCCTAGTAGAGTTGAGATGCTTTTCTTTTGTCAATGTTACTTGATATTTTCCTCACGACATTAAATGTCTCAACTCCTGAGACATCACAGTGAGACTTACTTTATGTAGAGCATCTTGTCTGCCAAAAGGGATTGCCACCTACCTATTAGTGATTAATTTTAAGTTCGGTATTAACCATCCTTGACCCATGTGCCTAAATAATGAGATTAAAATATAATAATATATAATACCAAGCTTACACTATAATGACGGCTCAAAACACATCCAGCTAACCCACCAGCATTACAATCACTCACACCAACTCACCACAGATTTTGTTGCATAGTCAATTTAAAGACACTGCGTTATGCGCTCTCACTAGATAATTTTCCTAAATCTAAGGAAATCGTGAACTCAAACTCAAAAGGATAATTTAATTCGAGACTGTTAAACATTCTACAAACAAATTTTGTATTTTACATCTAATTATTTTGATTACTATGTTTGTTCTGCAGATGAAACGTCTTCAGTTACAAATTCGTTAACTATGCCTATCCTGATTGGATGCTTGTCATTTTTAGTCATTATTCTGATTGTTGCATATGTGGTAACAATACGCAAATACAGAGTAAATAATATAAAGAATAATAATAAAAAGAAGAAACAAAAAACTCAAAGAATGAAGAAGATGACACTCAGACACATCAGTGGATTCTCCCGCAAATTCTTCAATACAAAGTATAATGACCGAGATGATGAACAACACTTGGAACAAGTACGTCAAAATGGGTGGCGCTGTAAGCTTGGTCGTTAAAGCCTGGTTTCCTGGCGACGTAAGAAGGCAGATTTACTTACGATTACGTCGTTTTATCGTAGGAAAATGCGATTTGACAGGAAACCGATTACGACTGGTGCGTTTTGAAATCGACGTAACGTAAACTAAAATCGTCGCAAAACAGTTTTGGACAGGAAACCGACGTATTGAATTTTCATGTGATACGTCGATTTTCCACTATTTGACAGGAAACCGCGATTTAGTGACTTTTGTTGGATGAACTCGCATACGTTGCGTTGCAAACGATTCTTATGAAAAGTTGACTCCAAGTCAACTTTTCATAAGAAACGTAAGCGGAAACGTATGCTGTCTGTATATCTTGCCTATACAACAAAATTGTCGACGAACTAGAACTCTCATTGACTTACGTATTTATAATAAAATGGTTAAAAAGAAGCATATCCTCCACTTTTTTCAAACACAATGATAGGCATGTAAAATCTTATAGATTTTTTTAGCCCTATACACAGTGGCGGCTCTAGAATATAATTTATGGAGGGGGGGGGCTAAGTATTTATGGGTGTAACTATAGCGCGCAGCGTTATCCGAGGGCCGAAGGCCGGATCCGGGGTATGGGAGGGGTTGGGTATCGGAGGGGAGTCCTCTACTCGCAAAATGAGTTTTTTATTTTAAAAAATTGGGACTTCTAGATTGCTTGACTTCTTCATTGGCTGGGATAGGAAAACTAGGCCTATTTTTTATTTATTTATTTATTTATTTTGGTACGACTGCCCGAAGAATGAGGATTGCAATTAGATTTAATAAATTACATTTAATATACAAAAAAACTTATAGGCCTATAATATAAAAATAATATATAAAACATTATAATATAGGGCCTAAATAAATAAATAAAATATAAAATATATAGGCCTATTGCCAGTTGGAATATTTTCTGTTAATTTCAGAAAAGTGTATTTCATTCTTAATTTCAATTTATGTTTATATTATATAACCCGAATTTTAACATTTAAATCATGTTTTCTGTATAACTGTATATCTGGAGATAAGATTTTTCTGTCAGTTCAAAACATAATATAATAAGATGAAATGAAATAAACAAAGTACCGGTACAATATAGGCCAAATTGATATTTTGAGAACGAAACACTAAAATTGATAACAAGAAAGTTAGCAAATCGAGATTTGTAGGCCCTTATACTGTACTACAGGACTAGACTATTGTTTAAATCCAACGGTGAAAATTGTCCTCGAATCTCGCCAGGTAATTTTAATGAGGAAACCAGACAGGAAGTGAGAAATGTAATAACATATCGCAGTTGCAAAGAAAAATTCAACTTGACGTAACATGCATGTGACGACGTTAGAAGAGGCTTTGCCGTTCGAGCTTGAAAAATTCAACTTATCGTAAGAATCGTAACCGGCTTATTTTGTTTGCGGCAGAGCACGATCAAGACGCGGCTGTTTTTGTCCAACTTCTCGTAACAGTCGTATGAATCGTAAGAAATTCTGAACTTCACGTCGACAGGAAATCAGGCTTAAGATGCTTGCATTCCAGTTACAGGGCTCTGGGTTCAAACCCTGTGAAAAACACCAGGATTGATTCACAACTTAAGTATATATAAGTATATATAACTATAAGTACATATTCTTATATATAAGTATATACACCTACTCAATTATCTATTCTGAAACTGTTGTTCCCCCCACCCCTTTGAAAAATTCTGGATCCGCCCCTGTACTGGGAACTTTTACGTAAAATACCACATCATTTGGGCTCAATATTATGAACGTTGTCCTAGGACATTAATTAATCCAGTAGCATTCCAAATTTAATAAATAAATCATTTGGCTTATTCATAGAGGCGTGCCTCTAAAGTTTAGTTTTGGCCATCTTCTTCACTCTTAAGATATGAGTGTGGTAACTCCGAGGAATGTCAATGAATATAGTCTAATACGGTATGGTGACAATACTTCACTACCGGAAATCCAAACAAAACAAATTATTACAAAATGATAAGGAATGCTTCTCGAAACATGCTTTAAAACAATCGTCTTGTATGAAAATATGTCAATATGTATATATATTTTATAATATATAATATATATATTGGTGGTTTACTGCATGCATAGCATTGTTTTAGTTTTCGCTGAGGGAAGTATGCCTCTATATGGAATTTATTATCCACTTTTCAAATTAGGCGTGTATTCGTTTACACTTGGATCAATGTTCAGGCGGCCTACTAATATTCTATTGAGCATTTTATATCCATATGTCACACAGGTTTTATAGCATTCCGGATTTTGTTATGATGATTGTTATATTTTTATGCTACTTTTGCATGTAGAATATTGTTTATTTTCCTCCTGAATGTGTATATCAAAAAATTCGGAAACATGCTCCAATCAGTGTAAATAACTGATGTTTTCTTTTTATAATTTTTATAATTATTCCATTGATTCGTTAATAAAATACTTGTACATAATATATTTCGACTCGGTTGTAAAGTATAGTAAGCATATTATACTGTGGCATATTCCAATTATTATTTCGAATAAGAATAAAAAGTATTTTAATAGGAATGATGTCCTACTTGATGTGTTATCGTACCGGTACTAAATGCTCAGTACCTTCCAAAATACTTTCGAAAAAAAAATCAAAAATCTCACCAGTGGTTTGTGAAGGAATCGAGTCCAGGATCTCCTGATAACCACTAGACCACCGGAATTGCTCTTAGATGTGGCTAGAATTAAATCTAGTCCCCAAGTAGCAGTGGGTATACATTGATATTTCGATGGCACCAGGTTAGTTATCTGGAGGTCGTCGGTTCGATTCCCAACCGAATCACGAGACTTTTTTTCGGAAGTATTGAGTTCGGTGCGATAACACGACAGCTACGGAGAAATACACAGTCTACAGTATCTTTCCTTTAGTATTATTTTCTTTTTTTATTGCGCCTTATTATTATTAATATTAGGCCTATTATTATTATTATTATTATTATTATTATTATTATTATTATTATTATTATTATTATTATTATTATTATTGTTATTATTATTATTATTATCATTGTTATTATTTCTATTATTATTATTACTATTGTTGTTGTTGTTGTTGTTGTTGTTATAATATTATTCAGACAGTATGTAAAGCTAATCTATTTTATCCACATTTATTTGTGATCGTTGAATTATCATTACATGTGTAAGTATTGTAATTAAAAAGTTAACTTGTAATATACAATTTTTATTATTATTAAAACTGTTTAAACGAAATATAGAAATTTTGTTAACGTAAGTCTACAAATCAATACAAAAAAATACTAGGAATAAATATCGTAAAAACAACAAAAAGTATAGGCCTAGGCATTTTAAACTAACGAAAATACAATCAAACACAGTAAGTAATTATGGCGCCTAAAACTAGCTGTAAAGCATGTTAAACAATAGGATATCATTTTTGATACAATGACCGGCTAGCACAATTATTCAGATATCGTTAATATGTGTAGGGTTGGATTTATTCGGTATAAACACCAAGGATAGCCCACGAAAATCTAAAAGAAGACTTATTTCCAGGGTACAGTAGTTGCTAAATACAATGGGATCAGCCGAGGGGCGTGGTTTCGCATGTTGACGCCATGCATAATTTTAGCTATATTTATTTATTTTATTTACTTTGACAACATACGACTTTGAACGGCGGCACACACAAAAGTTGTGCGTTCAGCTTAAATTACAAAAAATTAAAAATTAACTAAAGAAGGAGCACACTTCTAAACAATCATTACCGGTAATAAAATATGCACAAAAAAACCCCAAAAAAACACGAAAAATACTGTACATATAAAAAAAATAGATAAGAGTACAGTGCTCAAATGTAATACTGGAACATGATGTAATAAATAGTATCAAACATAGTTTATCAACGAAAGTTCCTTATTTGTTAATTAACTTAACACTGTACAGTACAGTATTTACCTTTATTTGATGGTACCTATATATATATAATTTAACAGTGTTAACGGCTACCTTGATTTATATTATATGCTACCATTTATGTCCAGCCGTATCTACCTATTGTGTAATAGAGTGTATCTGATGGTCATTTGAATCTCTTTAACCATGAAGCTTCTGTGGTCTAATTTACAGGACTGCATTTGTTGAGAGCTGTGCTACACGATGTACTATCATGTCCTTTATTCAAACACCTGTCTCTTATACACATCTAGATGTGTATAAGAGACAGAGACAAGTCCTCGCTTACTGGCGACTGGGTAATGCTATACATTATATAAATGAATTTTGAACGTTAGAGAAGAAGAATCTGCGAGTGTGAAAAATAGGTACACCAACCGGGAATCGAACCCGGGACCTCTGATGTCGAAAAAACGACAATACAGACGCCTATGCAGGCGCCTAAACCAACTAAGCCATTGAGGCTGTTGGGAATTCTGTAATTATTCGCTCCCTATATAGGGAATTTATTCTAAACGCCAGGCCTCCGGCCCTTTATAAAACAAAGTATTACAAATTAAATAAACGTACTGTGACAATACCTTATATAAATTTCGTTAATACACCCATGTTTCCTTGTTTTCTTTTCTCTTAAATGCGTGGTAAATAGATAAACATACTTTTCTAAATATATTGCTGTTTTGCGAGGACATTTGATACAATTTTTCACTTGTTGGAAAGGTAGCATAATATTATGGGAGATATGTTTTTCTTAAATTAGTATATAACTTGCAAAACAAAAGAAAATGAATCTCATCTTCGATGCTACCATCATGACAAATAAAAAGTCTATTTTTATAATCAACATTGTTTTAACGCCTCTTTTTAATTTCAAGACTATGATTTGATATACAAAAAGAAGTCATTAACAATTAAAAATACGGTTTTATATTCATTTAGAGGTAAGATTCATTTCCAAAAGTATGTTTGAATTTAGCATATTGTTTTAATTTACTTGAGTTATTTATACTGCTAAACCAATTTTGCTCATTTATGTCTTGGCATCGTTCGTTAAAATTATAAATGAAAGTTGTTTCATCACCACTCCTTGGTTCATCCAGACTTCCCATATCCACGATGAAACAAAAGAGACCTAATGCAACTTGCTCAGCAATCGCTGTCACTATCGATAAATCTTAACTGTTCCACATTATGCATTGTACCAATCTCTCTCTATCCAGTTTTATAATTCTCAACCAATATTTCATCATTCTTGTCGATACGATACGATACGATTTATTGGGTTCACTTTCAGATTAGTGGCACCCATCACTTTAATGGTGCAGCCATTAACAATATAAAATATAAACAAAAGAAAGCAAAAGACAGTTCAAAAACAACAAATGGATAAATAGCATAACAAAAACAAAACCAAGCAATTTACAGTAAAGTTTTACCCTTATTTGTATATCTAACAAATTGCTACTACTGTATAATTAAGTAAGTAAACTGAAATGAAACACACTGAGCAGCACAAAAACCTGTACTTAGTAGTCGTGTGAAATTACCGGAACGTCGATTATTTATTTATTTATTTATTTATTTTTTCTACGGACCAGGGCAGAATCAAAGTCAAATTCAGTATAATATTACAGGTTCTTGTAATATTGCTTCATCCAAGCAATATAAATGTATTTTTTACAATATTTATCGAAGATAAAACTTGCATCATTGTAATGAGAATCAACCAAATTTTATTTAAGGGGAAATTCATTATGGATAGACAGGTCATCAAAGAAAAGATGGTGTCTAAATTTACTAAACTTGAAGTAAACATATCCCAAAATATATCAAGGTTGTATTCATTAAGTTCTTTTTAAGTTCCTGGAAAGTTGTATCTCTAATATTGTTAAATTTACAGCAAAAGCAAAGTGATCTACTGTTTCTTTACAACCACTTTTACATAATTTGCAAAGACCTGTGTTTAAAGTTGACCAGGATTCTTTGCGACCTTCTAAATCAAGCGAGTTTGATCGAGCTATAAAAATAAATGCTTCTGAAAAGTTACATTTGTCAAGGAGGTATCTCATATCTCAAAATTTGGTTTAGATTTATATCTGATGTAGTCATTAAGTGACGACTTCCTTTAAGCATGATCAAACCAGTTTGATTTATTATATATATTATTCATTTCTTTAAAATCTTTAGTCAGTGTATATGATAAGTTAAGATTGAAACTATCTAATAAATTACAATTACTGAGACTTTTCTTAATATTATTTAACCATTGCCATTTTGAAACACCATAAACTTGAAATATAGTTTGAAAAAGTAATCTTT